GCAGTGGGGGGAATCTCCTTCCCCTTCCCTCTGGCACAGAGGCAAATCCCATCCTCTCCTTGTCCTTCCTCCCCCAGACAAGGAGCTGAGGATGGAGACCCGAGAGGACAAATCCCTGCAGCAGAACCTGGTGGAAGAGGCCGTTTTGTGCAGTTCCACAGCACAGGAATCCAATGGGGTGGAAAAGGCTCGGAGATCCCTCACGAGGAGGGGCTGTGAACGCAGATCACGGGGATCTGAGGAGGGAAGACCCACCCTGTGCCGGGAAGGCGGCCGGAGATCCAGCCGGGGCTCTGAGCTGGTGGTCCATGAGCAGCCTCAGGATGGGGAGAAGCCCCACAAGTGCTTGGAGTGTGGGAAGAGCTTCAGCTGGAGCTCCCAACTGATCAGGCACCAGAGGATCCACACTGGGGAACGGCCCCACGAGTGTGGGGAGTGTGGGAAGAGGTTTCAGATGATTGACACCCTGATGCGTCACCAAGTGGTCCACACCGGGGAGAGGCCCTACGAGTGTGGGGAGTGTGGAAAGAGGTTTCAGTTCACTTCCAGTCTCCTCCTGCACCAGCGCACGCACACAGAGGAGAAGCCGTTCTGCTGCCCTGACTGCAAGAAGGGATTCAGGCAAAATGCCCATCTTGTCTTGCACCAGCGCATCCACACTGGGGAGAGGCCCCACAAGTGTGAGCAGTGTGGGAAGAGCTTCAGCCGGAGCTCCCACCTGATCCGCCACCAGAGGATCCACACCGGGGAGAGGCCCCACAAGTGTAGGGAATGTGGGATGAGCTTCAGAGAGAGGGAGAACCTGATCCAGCACCAGAGGACCCACACTGGGGAGAGGCCCTACGAGTGTAGGGAATGTGGGAAGAGGTTCAGACAGTGTGGCAGCCTGATCTGCCACCAGAGGATCCACACCGGGGAACGGCCCTATGAATGTGGGGAATGTGGGAAGAGCTTCAGACAGAGATTCAATCTGATCAACCACCAACTGATCCACACTGGGGAAAAGCCCTACGAGTGTTCCAAGTGTGGGAAGAGGTTTCCCACCAGCTCCACTCTCTTCCTGCACTATCGGAGTCACACAGAGGAGAGGCCCTTCCAGTGCTCCGACTGTGGGAAGGCCTTCAAGCACAACGTCAGCCTTGTCACCCACCGGCGCATCCACACCAGGGAGAGGCCCCAGAGTGTCCCCAGTGTGGGAAGAGCTTCTCCCAGAGCTCAGCCTTGACCCAACAGCAACGGAGGCACCGGTAAGGGAAGCCCTGCGAGTGCCCCGAGTGCGGGAAGAGCTTTGTGACCCACATTCCCTGGGATCCACCTTGGGAATCCACCTGGCTGCTTCTCCTTCTGTTTTGGCCTCATTTTTCTTCTGATTCATCTTCATCCCTTAAAAACAGCCCAAACAGGGTTAAAAAGAAAGAAGTTGATCAACTGTGTCTGTTGTCCCACCATTTCACAGGTGTTTGAGGGGGAATATAGGGTTTGGGGACACATTCGGGAAGATTTGTGGGTTCTTGGGGTGTTTTGGGCCATGTTCTCCATCTCTTTGCACTCCAGATGCCAAGGGGGATCGATCTGTTACCTGAAAACAACTCAATCCCACTGAAAACAAGTAAATCTTATTCCCAGAAGGGCTCAATCCCACCTCAAAATGGCTTGTTCCACCGCAGGAAAAGTCAATCCCACCCCAAACTTCAATGGTTCCACAGGTGGCAGAGTGAGGTGGGGTTGGAAGGTGTTCTGGTTTCGGGCAAATTTGGGAGAAAACCTCTGAATGGGGTCCCTCCAGAAAGCAAATTTAAGTGGCCTCTCCCCCATCTGTTTTGGGAAATATATTTCCTTGGAGAAAAAGGGTAAAAGGCTGTTTTTTTAACAAGCAAAGTATCTACAAACATAAAAAAGGTGAGTAATATTAAACAATAAAACCTCTCGCTGTTTGAAGAGATGGCAAATCCAGAAAAGTCCTTTTCATGGAGTGTAGCTCAGCTCACTCAGTCTCTTATCAGTTCCTCCTGTGCTGGAATGTTCTGAGACTCAGGCCCTAGTGGGCCACAGCCTTGAGCTCCTGGTGTTTGTCTGGGTTCTCAGTCCACAACAGGTTGGAACAGATCCAAGAAAAAAGGCAGAAAACAGTCTGGGCAACCTCTCTGCCTCAGCTACCTAAAAGCTAACTAAATGAAACTAAAACTAAAAACTAAACTAAACTAAAC